TTTGTGATCAAAATCGATGAGTTTTACTACCTTTTATTGACTGAAATGGCTGAAAATTTTAAATTAAAGCTTGCAAGATTCGATTATAAAGCTGAAAAAGATGAAAAACCATGAAAATTATGAAGAATATTGTGCAGCCCGTGTTCTTGGGCGAGTCACCGTTGAGAACCGGCCCGACTCGGCGATTCACTGTTGGGAATCGCCCGGTTCTCTCTAAACACAGGCGATTCCTGGTATTGCAATAGAAATGGCACGAGTGTGCCGATTCCCGAATCGAACCGAGCTAGTTCGGTTTGACTCGTCGAGTTTTCAAACCCCGATTTAAATGATTCATCTCTCTAAAATTCATCATAGAGATGGATTTCGGATAAAAAAACGAAAGGAGTGGGCAATTTCCACCTTGGTGGATACGAATACAAAGAAAAATAATTTTTAAAAATAAAATTTGGTATTCATGATGTTAATTTAAGCGCCACCATTTTAGTCCTTGGAGGGATCACCATTAACAACCATCTGTCTTTGAGATCGATAGTTGGTGCATTGAGGGACGATAGGTGGATCTGTTTCCATAAGGTTGCAAAACTTAAACAATCAAAATAAGGCGCACTTTCAATCTTTGTCATACAATGTAATTTTGGTGTTGAAAAACTTAGGATGGCTCGAGAATATATTTTTATTGCTATTTATGTAATTTTAAACTCCAAAAATAATTCAACTCAAGCAAGCCTATAAACGCATGAAAATCTTGAAAATGGACAGTCCAGATAAGATAATGTGAGTAAGATGTATTAATTTTGGGACTTGAAATCTTTTTTATTTTCATATATGTTCATCTGAACATTAAGATAGTCAATTAAATGGTTTTCCAACATCAAAAGGCTCGAAACAACCTTTTCCGATTGTTTCTTGATGTGGATTTAAATTACAGAGCAATTGTTTCATGCGGGTTTATACAATTTTCGTTCCGGAGGTTTAAAGCATCAATCTTAAAGAAAAATGCAAATAGGTGGTCCATCGTCCAAATGTTTTCTTAAAATAATTATTATTTCTAGTTTTCAAATTGTGTTTATTTTTTCATATTCATTATCTCCATATTAAAGATTATATATTCTCTTAAAAATAAGATCAAATTATATTTAAAAAAGATATTTATTGCCAAACCCGCATTTATACATGTGCGGGCTTGGCCACATGCTAACCACGTTCTTAGTTATATATTATGTCAACTTTATATAAAATTTTTCCAATTACAGATACCCTTTTTTTAAAAAAAAAGAAAAAAAGTAGGAAGAACTGAAATTGTGACTGATGTTCCAATTTATCTTTTCAGGAATACTTCGGTATGCCTCCAATTACGAGTTGGACCGAAATTTAAAACCATGCCCTAAAGTTTGGTGTACACAACGTGGGGGCACGGAGAAGGTGATATAATACTTGATACTTAATTAGATTAAGATAAGGGAAAATTTTATATAGAGCGGAGGCTCTAAACAATCAAATTAGAGCCTACCTCAAAAATTTCACTAGAAGAGATTGTTTTGTTGTTCAACTATCTTCAAATTGATCATCTCGGCATCATGATGCATGGACATGAGAAAAAAAAATAGATTTCAAGTTTTGGAAATAGTGTATTTTGTAATGCATTTTTCAACCGTCAATTTTCAAGTTTTCATAGATCTGTCGATCTACAGTATTTTTTAAGGTTTAAACTTTATAAATAAAGATAAAAATATATTTTAAGGCTATCATAAAGACTTGCAGTGTTGAAACCACATTTCTCAGCACTCCTTTGAAGGTAGGCTGTAATTTGATTGTTTAGAGCCTAGGTTCTATATAAACCGCACCCTAAAGATAATCAAAATGTCAGTTAGACCAGGTGAAAGTCTCTTAAGGTTTTATTGCACGATTTTGTCTACAGTGTCTAAGTAGGTCATGAAAAGGTTGAGAAACGCCCTTAATATATTTGAGGGTGAACAATCAAATTAAGGTGCACCTCTAAAGTTTATTATAAATGTAAATTTGGTGTCAAAAATTATTAGGATGGCTTAATAATCTATTTTACTATCTAATTATGAAATTTTAAAATTTAAAGATGGTTCAAATCAAGTAGATCGGTAAACACATGAAAATCTTGAAAATTGACAGTCCAGATAATGTGTTGTAAGATACACTATTTTTGGGACTCGATATCTTTTTTTATTTTTATATTCGTTGAGATGATCAATTAGAGGGTTTTCCAACATCAAAATAACATTTTATGATTTTTTTAGGTGCATGTTAATTCTACATTTTAAAGTTGTAACCTTATATAATTTTTTTTCTCTAACTTTTTACCATTTCAAATTATCCATGATTGTAAACTGTTTGGCTTTTCTAATTGATTTTCTACAAAAAAGAATGTAGTCAAATATTGTCTCCTAGTCATTTTTTCGGGCAGTCATCCATTTTTGGTCATTTTGGTGGGAGATTTCTTCTTGTGGGGTGTAGCTTTGCTTATTTTTGAAGCTTCATGCACGATTCTCTCCATAATTATATAGTCTGAGTCCCCCGGTCTAACTTGAGCGAGTCCATTGTTTTTAATAAATCAATATAGACAATGCGATTATTTATTTTTTTATACAAGAAAGTCACAATTATTATTGACTATTGAATGTGAAATCGGGTATGGTTGAGGCAACAAGCGTTTTCCAGTTGAGCCATCAGCTTATAACCCATATTCTTCCATGTCCAAGAGAAAAAATTATGGGATTGTCCACAAAGAGACTATTTATCTTTTATACATTAAGGTTACAAAAATTCTCATTCATTAGATGTCTAATTAGATGGCTTGGGGTGTCACAAAGTTCGAAAATTTTTTCTTATGATTTTGTGTCTATCCAATGACACTTTTACAACTACCCATTTTAAAATTTAAGATACAAGAATGATTGTGATCTCCATATACAAAAAATAAACGGTCTCTTTATTGTCAATCCCAAAAAATACGATAATTTTTATTCTTTTTAACTCTCATTTTAAAAGTGTATATAAGAGGGGCTCACAATTCATTCCTTTGGATGTGATGGCCACTGTTGAAATTTTGAAACTTCCAACCCTTCTAATTTGAATTTGAATTTTAAAAATCTCAAAGAAAGCCTCCCCTCTCCTTTCTCACCGGCCTTGATGTTTAGCCCCAACGCATATCCATCCTCTGCTATTTTAGACCCACTACCCCACAATTTAGGTCTCCCTTCTCTCTCCACACTTTCTTACTCCTGTGTACTACAAAAACCATCATTTATGGGACTCATGCCCACATTTTCTTTTGTCACGCACTGCAATTTCTCACTTCAATGAACCCACCCGGACCCACAATCACAGGGTTCACATTCATTTGAAGGACTCATGTCCTATATAAAGTCCATACACATTTCCCCACCTGATCTACACATACAATTAATCTAACTTCTTCTCGCTAGGCTTATTTCCAACAAAGAAAATGTCGTAGAAGGCCAGCAAGTACTAGCTTTCTTTGTTGTGTCATTGCCCCGATTAGGGCAGGCATTACGTCGACTTGGGCTGGGTCAATCCTAGCCCTTGCCTAGCCCAAGTCCCCATAGGGCTGACCCAGTCGAGACTAGCCCAAGGAGTCCTTGGGTGAATCCCAGCATTAGGCCTATGAAGGCTGGGCCGACCAGAATCGACAAAGCAATAAAGGGCAAGTAGGAAGGCAAAAAGGGCTAGGTTGTGTGGAACAAGGTTCTGCTCTAGGCTCGGCCTGGCCCTACCTCGGATCATGATTTTCTCCCCCTAGCCTGGTCCTCGAGCCACTTTTCCTCATCCAAAAATCAGGGTAGGGCAAATAGGGTCGGTTTGGCCGAGCCACCCCAGCCTGTTGCCACCCTTGGCCCTGATCCAGTCTACAAAACCCACGCTCCACTTTCCTTGATAGACCCTATACACCCTACAAATTTATTGTGATTTATGTAGACCCATTTTCTTTAAACTGGCCCTACCCTTAATGTTAGTGCCATTTTTTTTTATAATTATTTATTTTCTACATTTTCCCTTTGAGAGTAATCGAGTAGAATGGACAACCGGATTCATACAGCCCACCCAATTAGTTAGGAAAAGTCTAAAATTACGATGTAGATGATTTTCCCCTCAAGAGGCAAGAAATCCAAGATTCACATCCATTGTAGGACCTCATGACTTGGCAAACTCATGTTTAGAGAATAAATTGTAGATCCAGGAGCCTATTTTAAAAGATGGGTGTGGTTTCTATAAGGTTGCAACCTTAAACAATCTAGTTACGGTGCATTTTCAAATTTTATCATAACATGTAATTTTGGTGTAAGAAATTATTAGGATTATCTGAAATCTGTTTTCATATCTAATTATAAAATTTTAAACTTCAAAAATGGTTAAAATCAAGTAGATCTATAAACATATAATTTTTTTTAAAATGGATGGTCTAGATAATGTGTTGCATGGTGCACTATTTCTGATACTCAAAATGTTTTTTTGGTCATATTCATATATTTCTATGTCTAGATGATCAACTAAAGAGTTTTTCAACATTAAAACAACTTTCTATGATGGATTTTTAAGGTGCTTCCGTATTTCTACACTTTAAGGTTGCAACCTTCTATAAACTGTTTCCTTAAAAGATTGATCTTCTAACATTAATTCATTTTTATGGTTTTAGTGACTCCATATTCATTCCTTTCCCCACTCTTACAAAAATAATAAAACCATCAGCCAACAACTCCTATCTAATTCTTAAGGACCAAATCACACCCCTCATTCACTCATAAGGACCACTTACCCTGCAAATTTTGGTCACTTCCCAAAGCCAACCACCTGCACGGGTCCTACAAATCTCCCTGGACTTGCCACTGGCTGGTGATGAGTGCCTCTCTCTCTCTCTCTCTCATACTACTACTACTCTACTCTCTACTACTACTACTACTACTACTACTACTACTACTACTAACTACGTACTACTACTACTACTCTCTCTCTCTCTCTCTCTCTCTCTCTCTCTCTCTGAGATTAGGAATAGCTCCAATCCAGCAATGGCTGCCTCCCAAACTGCCAAACCACCCCCAAAACCCAAAACCCCGAACCCCCAAAAGCCCACAGGCCTCTCCTCCCACCTCCTAATGGTGGAGCTCAAGCAGAAGATCCTCAACTCTCTCAACAAGCTCTCAGACAGGGACACCCAACAAATAGCCATTGAAGACCTTGAGATGATCATAGAAACCCTAATGCCAGAGGGAATCCCCATGTTCCTCAACTGCCTCTATGATACGGACCACCAGCAAAAGGTGGTTGTCAGGAAAGAGTGTATCAGGCTTTTGGGTGTTCTAGCTACCTTTCATGGTGATTCAGTGTCAACGCATTTGACAAAGATCATAACCCACATTGTGAGGAGGCTCAAAGATCCTGATTCAGGGGTGAGAGAGGCCTGTAATGGAGTAATGGGGGTGCTTGCTGGTAGGTATCTACAGGGAGAAGGAGCAGGAGCAGTTGCTGGTTTGTTTGTTAGGCCATTGATGGAGGCTTTAGGGGAACAAGGGAAGGCTGTTCAGGCTGGAGCAGCCATGTGTTTGGCTAGAGTGGTCGAGAGTGGAGGCGGAGAAGTTGTGGCTTTTCAGAAGCTGTGCCCGAGGATTGCTAAGCTTCTTGGAAACCAGAATTTTGTAGCAAAGGGAGCATTGTTGGGTGTTATATCGAGTCTATCACAGGTTCGAGATCTTGAGAACTAATGAGTATTTGTTATTTCTTTCTTTTTGATGTATTTTTTGGATATTTCTGAATACGATTGATGAGACTTTTACTTTTTAAGATTTTTTTTTTTCCCCATTACTGCTATGTCAATAGACAATGTATGGATTTCCATGAAATAATGGGTTTTTTCTCTTATTTTTTTGATGTATTATGTGATTATTTCTATGGGGTTTTGTGATTTAGGTTTTTTTTTTTTCCTACTTCAATTTCGAATTTGGGGTTGATTGACCAAAATGCTAGGATTGCGTGATTGGATCTGGAACCGATGTGACATCTAGGCATAATTGTCAAAATATATTCACCGCCAATAAATTTGGTTTAAGCTCTGCAAATTAGGAAGGCCATTCGCTATATGTTATTTCATTTTTCTTTTTCTTTTGAATATTCTACATGGTTCAGATGTCAGATGCCAATTATGAATTGGTGTTCATTGTTGCTGCGAATTGTGGTTCATGGGTCCATGGTTCCTCCAATTTTCATTCGTCTGTTGATCTGTTCATTGTTGTTCTTGATATGATTTCACTTAAATGTATGATTTATTTTTTGGATTGTAGAAAATGCTGGCCAATTGCATCATTAGGTCATTTGGTTGCTTTTCTCATTTCATGAATCTGTGTGTGTGTGTGTTGCTTGGTCTAATTCCATTTTCTATGTTTCTCTTGGAAATTTATTACTAGCAATATGATCTGTATCCAAAGTCCTCCTCTTTGCAAGATTGGCTGTTTGATGCCATCTACAAGTTGGGATTTGAGATATCTAACTTGTATTTGTTATATTTCTAAAATAGAAATCTCTATTGCTTTAGGGTCCTGGATTTTCTTCTTGAGATATTCCCATACCCTGCCTTAATGTATATATGCACTATCTCCAGTGGTTGCCTCATCCATGAGTCTTTCCATGGGCTCCCCTTGTTGTCCTCTTTAGCATTGTTTGGTTCTCATCCAACTATAGTTCATCTTGGACAGCCAACTCGTTTGAATTCCCAGTCCATCGTTCGATGAGTTACTTTGCATAGCTTAATCTTTCTTTTAATACCAAAACTTGGAATGCTAATATTTGTTAGTAGCAATTTGACCATTTCTCCTGATTCTTCTCAAAATATCAAGTAATACTACTATGGACTAACAAAATTTGAAGAACTTCTTCTCTAGATTAACTAGTTGTTTTCTATGAATTCTGAAACTTAGATTGAAGTCATTAAAGAAGCGAAGGTCTAGCTTGTTTTGTATTTCACTATAACCTGATAGATTTTCATATTCTGTACAGGTAGGTGCACTTGCACCACAAAGCTTACCAGTACTTCTTCCATGCATTCATGAATGTCTTGAGAGTAGTGATTGGGCCAACCGTAAAGCTGCAGCAGATACTCTGATAAATTTGGCTGCTTATTCTAGAAATTTGGTGTTGGAAGGGGCTCCTTCGACCATTACTGCATTAGAAGCATGCCGCTTTGATAAGGTATGTTTGTTACCAAGAAGAACAAAGGTATGCTATTTAGTTGGGTTTATTTCGCAGAGATGGTGAATCAGTTTTGTTCTCTAACATAAGGAACTTAAAAAAAATAAAAATAGAAGCACTTGAGTGTTCTTTTGGGATTTATGAAGAGTTTCTTGCTCTTATTTCCAGCACGAAATATTCACCATCAGTGATTCTCTTTTTTTGGATAGGTGAAACCGGTTAGGGACAGCATGACAGAGGCACTTCAGTTGTGGAAAAACATTGCAGGGAAAGGAGGAGATGGAACTTCAGAGGAACCAAAACCCATGTCACCGGGTGAGTATTTCATCCGTACTATTTTACACCATGCATCTTGTCTGTAAATTTCTTCCTGTTGCTTCATGCATCATTATATAGTTCTGTTGCTTGAATTTGTCATGTGAAATTTGGATAGACTTCTATTCTCTTGATTTCGTGAATAGATAATGCATTAATAAAGGTTCTAAAGGCTTGCTTAAGAGGTCTTTTATTTTAATTTTTCTCTTGATTTGCAGATGGTGATAAGAGTAAGTTAATCGAGTCTGTGGAGAAGCTGGGTATTGAAAAATCAAGTTCTAATTCAATAAAATCTGAGTCATCTGCAAAAGACACATCAAAATCATCGAGCCCTCCGAAGGATTCTCATTCGAAACCTCAAGCAAATAGTAGCATATCAGACAAAGCAGTTGGAATATTGAAGAAAAAAGCCCCCATTTTGAATGATAAAGAGATAAATCCGGAGTTCTTCCAAAAACTTGAAACTAGGAACTCAGATGATTTGCCTGTTGAAGTTGTGGTGCCTCGTAATTGTCTTAACTCCTCCAAAATACGTGGTGAAGAGGAATCAAAACTGAAGAATTCTGATTGTGGAAATGGATCTGGCAACAACGGGATGCCATCTGGGGAAATCAATGGAACCCATGGATCGATTGCCACAACCCATCTTAATACCAATAGAAAAGCAGGGCCTTATAACAAACAAGAAGTCTCAGATGACTTTGCAAATGATAAATGGTTAGAACAAAGGTTCCATAGAGTAAAGGACTCAAAACCGAGAACATTGGATTCTGATGACCGGGCAGACAGTCAAAGGGAGCTGGGTGGTTCAAGATTGAATTTCTCCAGAGCTGACGGTTATTCTGATGGGTCCTTGAATTCAAAAGGGAACTGGCTGGGAATTCAAAGGCAGTTGGTCCTATTGGAAAGACAGCAAACTAACCTCATGAAAATGTTACAGGTTTGTTCAATTACTTTTGAAAGTAATAAAAAGCTTGGTAATTTCATAGATTGTAACATCAAATTCATTATGTTTATTTTGATGATCGTGACGATATGTTTTTGAAATTTTGGAGTTGGCAGTCAGTTTTTTGGCCTGAATTTTCTGGGCTCAACCATATATGCTGAGTGAAACCAGAAATCTTTGGAAAACATCTTTTACGATTGCCTTGGGACTTTTTGCTAGTAGCTTTGTATATTTTCTTTCTTATGATTTGGTGGAAAGAGGAAATAGATCATTTCTATCATATAAGTCCAAATAGTTTGCTATATACTCGCTGTTCTAAAGCTATGAAGTTCTCTTTATGGAGCTATTTGCAGAACTGCAGGGAGTATTATTTTGAAGTGCTTGTGAAATTTTTCATTGTTTGCTCAAATTCATCCTTATTTTGCAATTTAATTATTATTACCTCTGAATCTCTGACCATCCAATGTTTTACGTGAGAATGCTTTTATCATGCATTGGTGTAATCTTTTTTATCTCTTAATAGTGTACTCAATCACTGTAGATTGGACCATATTCTAATGTCCACTGTGTTGTAGAATATGAACAATCAAATTTTGGTTGAATATCTTCTGGTTGATGACAGTCTTATAAATAGTTTCTATAGCCATAATAATTTGTCAACATTGTTTTCTTTGTTAATGATTCATCTTCCACCTTAATTTCCAATCTGCCCATTCCTCTAGTTAGAAATTCGATGTTATATACTGAAACCCTCATGAATGTCTACCCAGAAACAAAATTTAGAATCTAATGAATCATATTAAGTTTTCATCTCTAAAAAAAATGCCAGAGTTTTAACCTGCTTGGAATAGCATCACAGTATATGAATGTTGGAAATAGATGCTAGATATGTGAAACAATAAATTATGGCAAATCCTACGTTAAGCTTTCAAAAGAACCCACATTAATTGCTTTGTCAATCAGTTCACTAAATCCTTTTGTTTCAGTCTTTCAGACTGAATGACAGCAGTTAAAAGCAGGTGTGGATGCTTGCCTCGAGCTGCTTCACCCCAGAAATTTGATGCCAGCTGATTTTTTCCTTTCCTGCAATGCCCTTGTGAGGCATGGTTCTTCAACAGCACCATTCTATTCCTCCTCCACATGAGAGGCTATTTTCTGTCGCTTTTCAGAAATGAGCAAATCTTCGCCAATTACTGTCAAATTCTACTTGATAGGTTGTCAAAAGATGTTTTATTTCCTTCCTTTATTTTTCCTGTAATCTATTGTAACCTCTTAACATATCTAATGCTTAGTTTGCATGGTGCAACCACTCCACCCAAGGCTGAAAAGCTGAGTGCCACATATTTTTAAGATAATTGGCATAGAACATCTAGAGATGTTGTAGTCCCCAGAATGCTTGGGGCATGAATGGAATTTGATTCAGAAGTGCAACTACTGGTTTTACAGAGTCTGGTTTGTCCAGAGTCTTTCTAATTCCTGGATCACATGGCCAATATATTGCTGTATGCAACCATGAGAAACTGTTGCGATAGATATGAATCTGAGATAAAAAATTCACCTGGAACTACCTCCGACACTCTAACTATTGATCTTTTGTTTTGAGTGACAATGATGCCATCTGAGAATCATTGAGATGGCAGTGCTTGCACCCACATCTCTGCCCTCCTCCTCATGCCTATGGGGATCTAACTACAAATTTTTTGACTCCATTTCAGATTTTAGCTCTTGATTCATCATTATCTCCTCTGATGTTTACTTTTTTTCCCCAGATCCTTCACCATTCCTCTCTTGGTCATCTGGAGTGTCTATATGATGAAAACAGTTCTTTGACCTTCCCTGATTCCTACTTGTCCTCTGCCATGTTCTGAATTAGAAAATATTGAATTCCTTTTCCCTTTCGCCCCCTTACAACCTTGTCTTGATTCCTTTTTTCCCCTTTGCTGCGCCCCCAGCATTTGGAACATACCAATTGTATTTTCCAAATTCTTTGTCTAGGGTCAGTAATCTTCTCAAATGCAATCAGCTTTTACTAACCTCGTATATTTTTTCCATGCTGCTCCACAATGTGGATCTAGAGTAGCTCACCTCCCATACTTCCACATGGCTACAATCGACCCTGCTTGCATTCAAACTGGATGCAATGCTACTCCGGACTCCGGGGACTCCACACCTCGGCCTATTGGGATTGACCACACCATTTCTGCTTGTTTCCTTAGGCTCAATACACAGAAAGTAAAAAAAAATAAAGATAAAAATAAATAAATAATCCATTCAAAGGCCTATTAGAATTGAGCATATGAACATTGGCCCTGTTCCAGGAGCAAAATTTGTTAGTCGGCTGGACTGAGATGCAAGGTAACTTTCCCTCAGATGCAATCCCTTTTTGAGGTCCTAGAAAATTGTACTTAATTAACTCTTCTGTCTTTGTGTTTTTCTGCACATTCGAATCTATTCCTGGGGTTACCTTATCAAAGGGTCAGAGCTATACCTTTTCTGTCTATCTACTGGCTCTTTACAGAATCGAAAAGCAGGGGAACCCTGAGGAGATGATGACATATCCATTCTAACATAAGGCAGAAAGAGACCACTGGTAATTATCCCAAAACACTCCAACTTGATTTGCAAATAGAAGGGCGCATCTTGCACAAACTCTTCTTACTATGGGGGTAAACTTCTCCAATTGAAAATTCTAAACTTTGGCCAAAATAGCACATGCTACCCCCTGCCCTACCATCTTGGAACCCTACTTAGGCTTGGGGTCCACCAGCAGCAGCTCTCAAATTGATGCTGTTATGAGCTAGCCCCATCAAGATGTTTTCTTGAACTCAAAATGATGGGCCTCAGTTCATATCCTCTGCCTTTCCCTAACATGTGGTCTCCAAAAACCTCTATGCTTGAGACCTTTTTCTCATTGGCCTGAAGTTTTTGGGGCCCCTAGTTATTGAAGGGGATTGCATCAACATCATTGGGTGGATTCATGGTGAATTGGCTTGCCTACGGAGATTAGTGGATTTGATGGAGACAATATTCAGTTTTGAGTTACTTTCTGGAGTTCCCTACAGCCATGGTGGGAGAAGGCAATTAGATGGCAGTGAGGCATGGTGTTAAGAGCAACACTGTCCACTGGGATAATTATCCCATGGTTTACCTTTTGCTGTTACTTGCTGCAACTTGACGTATATGTTTTTAACTACTTACTTTTGTCCAGAAAGCATGAAACTATATACATAGTCGTTGATGTTTAGGATCACCTTAGATCTGGCATCTAAAGATATGTTACAGCTAACTGCCATTTGTAGTTTGCTAAATATGGAACCCTGAATGGAGAAATGTATGATCTTTGGAGTTCTTCCATTAAGCATTTCATTAGCATAAAGCTTCTTGTGTAATTAAGAGGGTAGGGTACGTCACATTCTTAGTCAACAGGACTTACTGGTGGAAGAGCTTAATTGGCCTTGCCATATTCAGAATTGAGTTTTTCATTTCCAAGTAGCTTTATTTGAAAAGAATTTGTCTGAATTTGATCAATTTGACTATTCATTTGAGAAATGTGTGGCAAACAAAATTGAACTTGACAATGTCATGATGAGTTTGGACTTTATTATGACCCCATTGTCTATTGCTGCATTCCATTGATTTTTTATTCTATTATTGACTTCTTGTGCCTTTCCTTACCCAAGCCGAAGGCGCAAAAAGAAACCTTAGTATTTGCGTTTATTTTGATTGTTTTCTAGAACCTCAAGTTTGGCTCTCCGTATTGAATTTTAAAATTAACAAACATTATTCTAGGTGCAGGTGAATACAAATTCCCTAAAATGAAAACAGCCTTACCCTTTTGCGAATCCCTTTAGGAGCAAATTTGACAAAGACATCACCCCTTGTGTCATGAAAATGCTGTTCTGGCCACTATCAATTGTGATCTCTGAAGGTGCATGTTGCTTCTTTGTTAGGAGCAATCATTGTTTTGAAAAGGTAACTCGGAGGCTATGTCCCCTTTGTTAGGCTATGGCCATGTGGGGATTAATTGCTAGCATTGTTAGCCATCTGTTCTTCCAGTTTCATATGGGTCATGTAATAGATCCGCAATTTATCCAAGAAAAAGTAAAACCACAAGAGATCGTGACAGAAGATTTGGATTTTGAATTTATGCTGTTGCATTGCATGCTCCAAAGGTAGAATGGGGTCTTCAGGTACCAAGATTTAACTCAGATATTAAAGTCATCTTGTTTAATTATTATAAAAAAGCTACCAAAATAAAATCTCTGCTTTTAGAAAGTGAATTTAGTACCAAGTCAATTTGAGCTTTAGGTAATGTTTCAACATATTACTGTTTTCTTATGTTATTCTTGCCCTTGCATTGATTGGTAGTTCTAGTTTAAGTGACCAGGAAGATTGCATACTTCCCTTTTCTCTAATTGACTAGAAGAGAGGCTTCAAAGCTCACTTGGCTTTTTTGATATCATTTAGTACGTCAATGAAGGAATTTGTGGCTAGTATATTACCGATCTGCTATGTGGAGAATCTTTCTTCCAGATCGATATATACATCGTATTATAAATTTCACCACTTCCTTGCTTCTTCTGTTAACTTGCACCTGCAGTTTTTCTTATTTAATCAAAATGCTCATTACTAGTGTCATTTGTATATTTATGTACTCAAATATGGCAGGACTTCATGGGAGGCTCCCATGATAGCATGGTAACACTGGAAACCCGGGTTCGTGGCCTTGAGAGAATAGTTGAAGACATGGCTCATGAGCTAGGCACATCATCGGGTCGGAGAGGTATGATGCTTGGATTCGAGGGACCCACTGCTCGATCTTTGGGTAAATATGGGCCTTCTGATTTCACCGGATCGAAGTTGGGCAGGGGTGGGGACGGTCGGATTTCATTCTCAGATAGGTTTTCATCATCTGATGGCATCAGGGGGCGGGACCCGCCTTGGGATTCTTGGGACTCTTACCCCTATGGAGCCCCAAGAAATGGACATTTGGGCTCTAGAAGAGTAATGGGTAGTGCTTCAAATGATTGTAGAATACCTAGAATGGAAAATGAAGGGGACCAACTAGGTAATAATAGGAGGGGTTGGGAAAGGGGACCAGGACCCACCGCAAGACTCGGTGAGGGACCTTCAGCTAGAAGTGTCTGGCAAGCCTCAAAGGATGAGGCTACTCTTGAGGCAATAAGAGTAGCTGGAGAAGATGGGGGAACTTCTCGAACTAATGCAAGGGTAGCTATACCTGAACTTGATTCAGAGAATATTGGGGATGATAATATAGGACAGGAGAAAGGACCACTTTGGGCTTCATGGAGCCATGCCATGGATTCCCTTCATGCTGGTGATGTAGACTCTGCTTATGCTGAGGTCCTCTCAACAGGGGACGATATATTGCTTGTGAAGCTCATGGACAGATCGGGACCCATGATTGATCAGCTCTCTAATGAAATTGCCATTGAGGTTTTACATGCGGCTGGGCAGTTATTGCACGAGCAAAGCTTTTTGGATATTGGTTTATCTTGGATACAACAGGTAGGCTCGGTTTATTTCTCTTTTAAGTTTCTCTCCTTGTTCTTTGTTTAGGGCTGTCTTGTCTATTTACATGTGACAAATGTGCTTTCGCATGCAATACATAAAATTGCATGTTGCTATGTTATCAGCAGAAACCTAGTGGATAGAAGGTAGGATTGTCGAAAGAAAGGGGTTTCTGGAAGCGAGTGGGGCCCACCATCAAATAATGGACAGTGATGAAGAGACTGGATTCCCCCAATTGTCATCTCCTACTCTGCATGACTGTCCATGTTATCAGAATTTCTCAACCTCGATGGGCTATGCTTTTCCAGTCCATTCTAATATTACACTGTAGTATGCCTCCCTAGATTGAATTATTGTGCGTGCCCACATGGCCACATATGCACAAATGCGTAAATTTCAAACTGCAACATTTAAGTTTCAAGTTTATCAAGTCAGAGCTATACTTCAGATATACTATATACACAAAATGATACAGCTAGTCATCAGGATCTTTGAATTATCATTAATTACTCTCTTCTATTTGTGTCCTTCCATGCTACACTCAGTTGTTGGACTTGGTGGTGGACAATGGAGCTGATTACTTGGGTATTCCCTTTGAAGAGAAGAGAGGACTTCTCTTTTCATTATATGAAGCTTCGGAGTTGGAAATGCCAGAGGATTGGGAGGGGGCGTCTCCGGATGAATTGATCATGCAGTTGGCTGCAGCATGGGGTATTGATCTACAACAGTTTGACAAATAATAGTTCAACAAATATGTTTTATTGGTTTACACTGTAATTTCTTATCTTCTGTCTTTCTGGAAATTGTGTATTTGTATGTGTAGTTGCATGGATCCAGAAATGAAACTGATGTTGATTGTTAAGGCACTCCAAGACAACACCCCGAATTTTTAAGGCATGCCTTTTCAGAATTGGGGCTTACATAGTTTTACTACAATTGTTATGAAAGCATTATATAATCCTATGGGATAAAAATGTGCATTTGGTCGTTCAGGCAAAACACTAGACTCCAAGTTATGAGAATATGAACCCAGCTAGAAAATAATAGTAATACTAATGAAAACGTTCCAAGCCTAGGTTAAGGAGGTTGGTTGTGTTACGTAAGCAGCCAAAATAAAATATTGCCCAAGCTTACTATGCATCAAATAACGAGAATTTCGTTCATGCAAGAGCATAGTTTACAGAAGAATCCTGCATTGAAAATATTGTTTTACATTTAAAAAAAAAAGGAGCTCATATTATCATACTTATGTGACACCACATTATATACCTACTCCCTTAGGGCGGATTAATTTTAGAATCATTGAATAATTATTTTTCAAAGGTAAAAGGAAAAAGTAATGATATTGAGTTCCTAAATATCCTGAGTGCAAAATTTCAAATTTTGAATGTTCTTTCTAGAATCTTAGGATAATATGTTTTTAGCTTGCATATAGAGCAATTTGTAGACCGGGCATGTACATAGTGGATCGCTCTTTGTTCACTCGTTGGACATTATTTTTCTTTTAGGTACACATAGTATGTTTGTCTTGGATTAGCCACTGAAATATTGTGTATTTTGTTATTCTTTCTTTGAGCTTAGCTCAAATTACATCCCCAAAATTTAGGGGCTTAAAATAGTCCTAGATACGTTTTAGTTGAGGGAGTGCGTGTTCATTATATTCCTATTATAATCTTTTAGCTTAAAAGTAGGGGTGGCAACCTGAACCTGAACCGGCCCCGTGGGTATACTTGACCTAGGTCCGGGTATGGGTCCAACATTTGGACCCGGTGGGTCGGGTCTGGGTCCAAAACATGGACCCAAATACTATTCGGGTCCAGGTCCGGTTGAACCCAACCCATACCTGACCCGTACCCGTAAACTATTGGACATAAAATACTTCAAGCTTATTTATTTGGGTTTACTCGTAGTCATCTTTAACTATTAAACAACAAATCATACCGCTTGAAATCTAATGGCGGGTGATTGTGACCTTGTTGCCAATAATATGGATATATGAAGGTAAAAAAAGGGCACAAAAAAAAACTCATAGTGATGGTAGCAATGAACCCGACTAGACCTAGGACTCGAAGGGTACCAGTATGGGTTTGAAACCTGGGCCCGAATACTATTTTGGTCTGAGTCCGAGTCCAGCCGGACCTGCCCCATACCCGACCCATTACCACCCCTACTTAAAAGAATTTTGTTAAGAAAATTACTCTAGCCTCTCTAATTTTAGTTACCGTCAAGATACATTGGAGTGGTATTTTCCTTTGATAAATGGAAAACTTTTTCGGTAAAGCTGCAGCTTTGCATTGCTGCCGTTGCAGCCATCTAAACCATCCTTTCAAATGAACGGTGCAGGTTTGACAATAAACATTATTAGGCTGACAGAAGCCTTGGTTCCTCATTCATCTTTGTTCTTCCCTCTAGCTCCCTAAAATCTCTTGCAATGTACATTCTAAATTCTTTCTCCCCATTATGCAAATTCACCACCATTAGATGCAGAGAAAAATGGAGAAGAATTGGCTGTTTTCTCATTTCCACTGTTTTTACCACGATTTTCACCTTCTCTTCCTCTTTCTCCACTCGGTTTTTCTGCATTTACCTGCATTGAATAGAGAGCTAATTTCTTTTGAGAATGAGAGCTTCTTTGAATGATCCAAGCGGAGTTTCGGCTTCTTGGGAACGAGGAAACGATTCCCCATTTAAGCAGAAGCCATTAATCTCGACAATGACAACTTTTGGCCATGGCATGCTGGATAACCTCTCTAGGACACAACAATTACTTGGGCAATTGCATCTCTTGAAGAGACCTCTCTCTGATTTCAAACTCTTCTCCAGCTCAGTCTCAAACTTGGAAGAAATCCGGTGGCTGAACCTCCCTTGCTACAAGTTTTCTATTTATATTACAGCATTTTTTTGGCCAGGGTTGATACCCCCAACCCAAACCCAAACCCAAAAGTAGATGAAATAAGACTCAACTACTCTTGTTTGTTTTCACAGGGTCTTCTCTCTCCTATTTTCACACACGCTCTGGCAGTACAAACACGTGCTACGGCATTTTGAATGTGCTCTCGACAATGCAGGTCTGAGCCGTAGCTCTCCGGCATTATGAGAGTTCGCTCCGATAGTGCAAAGACATGGTCCGGCATTCCGCTCCGACAATAAAATCTCTGAAGCCACAGTGTTTTGGCAATGGAGGACCTCGCTTCCGGCAATGAAGTCTCTGGAGCCACAACGCTCCAGCAATGGAGGATTGCGCTTCGCGCTTCGGCAATAGAAATCGCACCACACTACGGCAATATAAATCACTCCGCGCTTCGACAATATAAATCTCTCCAGCATTCTGAAAGTGCGCTCCGACAATGCAAGTCTGAGCCACAGTGCTTTGACATTATGAAAACGCACTCGGTAGTACGCTATTTAGACCCACGAATTGACTTGGTTTGTACGGAAAAGGAAATTCCGTTTAAAAATTAACAACTTTTTATCTTGTGGGGTTTTTATGAAAAAAGGTTGTTTGGGAAAACAAAGTGAGAGAAAAGATTAATGTGAGAGTTTTTGTGAAACAAAGTAGTTTTGAGAAAAAAAGTGAGAAAAGATTGGAGTGAAAGTAAACTAGTATATAATCCATTTTAAGGTGTTTTTTGTAATTTTCCCTCATTCTTTAACCCCAAGCTATATTCCATATAGATTAACCCCATCTATGTGACTCAAATAAATGATGATAATACTGCTTGTGGCTTTAGATTTAGACACACTACAACTAAAAAAGTATGACGCATTGAAAGGGAACTTGAACAATAACCGCTGATGTTACATAGGATAAAAGGATAATTTGACCATCTTAATGGTCATTTAAGGTGCATTTAAGTGATGGTTTCCGTATTTTTAATCATTACTATTATTTACTTACAAAATATCCTCAATAACCATGACTCTATCAAAAATCTAAACGAAGTACATTCAGCGATAACAAAGATTTCCACAAAACCAATATACAAGAATTTTTCATGATTTCTTTTTCACATTAATTTAAGCGTGCCCCAAATCGGGCAATCCAACTAGGAATCAGCAAAATCCAACTTAGTTTTCTAGGTGACTGATAATTTTTAGAACACCGATATAAATCAATTGTACAAAACTTTACATTTACATGTTTCCAGTTACCACTCACCCATCCCAACCTCATAAAGCAAAACATATGAACCCTGTCAAAAAGAAGCAAGCAGTCAGCCCTCTCAAAAAGCCCTTCAAGCACCTTGCAGCCAGAAGATCATCAAGCGAAGTTAACAAATGCCGGAAATCCAAAAATCTCACAGATTTGGGCAGCTTATTCACCAAATATCTCAAATTCTGGCTGAAGTCCACTACCCAATTGATAAGCCAGTTGCAATAGCTTCTGACGAGGTCCAAACCAAAGCAAATTGTGTCGCCAGACAAAATCTTGGTCTCGTACCAAAGGATCCACCCAAATACTTAGGAATGGGGTCCAATGCAAGTCTTACTTGGCAGCGTACCAGTTCTGTTCACAGTTGGCATCCACTGATAGGTCGACTTTGAGAAAGTTGGTGCCATAGAATGGCTTGGACATGCACTCCACGACTATGGCCTTGGCTTCCTCTGCTGAATCAGTGGGTCCTTCCAATATCACTTCATCATGTACCTGATCAAAACAATGCGTCTTTTTCAAGGAGAGAGGATAGCAACTAAAGAAGTAACAGAGCCCACCAAAATTCAGTATTTTACTTTATAAACTGCAATAAGAGACAAGGATAACAGATGTCATGAAGCTCTATTACTTTTTTTCTATTTTAATTGTTTCTTTCACAACAAACACATGAAACTCTATAATTATTTAAGAAACTTTGTTCTGTTTTGCATTTTCCACCTATCTTTAATTTGTTTCTATTATATTATGGGGGAAGTGAGGGCTGCGAATGCCTTTTGAGTCTGTTTCCAATAGTACACTACAAGTGTCAGTACATTTCAGTTATGGAATAGATTGATGCAGCATCTGATCCAGAATTTTTAGATAAATTATTTCATATAATTAGAGTATACAAAAAAATAACCATGCAGATGCTAGGGAAGGGAGAAAGATAATAAAGAACGGCTTTCCAAAGAATGACCTGCAAGAGTAACTTCCAACCAAGATCTTTCAAGCGAGAATTCCTCGATATTTCAAGCATGGCACACATCGCAACATCTGCAGCACTACCCTGCAACACAAATGTTAAAAGAGAAAAAAAAATATTGAAAACTCAATCACAATATATTATGTTCCATGAAACAGTAAGAAAATCATCACAATGTATTCATTCTGTTGCGATTTGTCAAAATAAAGCTAAATACCTGCACTGGGGTATTAATGGCAGCTCGTTCAATGTGGCCTCTTTGAGAGTAACTGGCATTAGCCATGGATGGGAAACGCCGGGCACGCCCAAGAAGTGTATGAACACACCCTTTGTTGGCTGCCTCCGATTTGCGTTCTTCTTGCCATCGCAAAACCTCCTTTCTTTCCTTATACCAAAGATTCACTGTTTCTTTTGCTTCCTTAAGAGAGACCTGGCAAGAAAGATGTGGAAGCACACCAAACAAAAAAGGATGAGAGAATTATACCAATCTAGGAAACCTAAAAATTCTGCGAACAATGACAGCCCAAGGAGTGAGGCTTCATCTGCCAAAACTTTACAGGAAGAGACCAATTCTTTGCACATGGTTGGACAAAGACAAATAAGAAAAATACTATCATATCACCCAAAACTCAGGAATGCCATAAAAAGCCCCAATTGCATATTGCCATTAAGCTGAGAAATACATTGACAACTGAAGCTGAGAAAAAAGTGCAGGAAAAATCGGCACAGGGAAGTTTTCTAAAAAAAGCAAGAACCATCCCACAGGCGTCATTTGTTTCAAAGTGTCCCCCAAAAACAAAGTAAAAACTAACAAATGACACTGAGAAATATACCTTCCAATCCCGTGAAAGTCCAACAGGAGTCTTCCCATAAGCGATGGAGAAGTTCAGCATTTTCGCTTTCCTTCTTTCTGAACCAAAAGCATCCTATATGCGGACACCACAAATTATAACATGAAATTTTCATTTATTCAAAGGGAATAGAAGTCATTGTATGTATTCAGATCAACGTCCTAAGAAACAAAAATAACACAAAGCTCTCATGAATATAAGTATGTGCATAATTATGTTGCTTAGCGAGAAACATTTTTATGTCTAAATTAATGTAGTTTCAAAACAAAAGTTTTTGTGCATGTATTGAGATAAATGGTTTGATGAATATATTGTTCAACAGGTTTAATTCCATAAGAGATTATTTCCATCTCTTAGAGAGATAGAATTCCTGGTTTCCACTATTTTTCACCTCCAGCAAACAATCCAGAGCTATATATCTTCACCTTCAGAAGAGGAACTGGTGGTTTCTCTTCTCCAGGCTGAGGGTGCCACTCAAGAAGAACACGCTTTTCCTCTACAGCCTCGCACACATGTGCATACATATTCATGGCTGTCCTTGAATGGAAATCTCCACCAGCTTTGAAAGCATCCAACATACTCTTGCAATTGGACAGGTGTGCAAGGATTCTCAGCTCCAGCTTTACAAAGTAAAAAGTTCTTCTATTCAGTTAGGGTCGTAGGTAATAAAAGTTCAAAAATCTATGTCACAATGGGGTTGCTGTATTAAATAGTCCGGTTAAGTCACAAAACCTGCCCATAATCAGCAACAATGAGAGAGTTCCCAGGTGCCGCAATAAAAGCCTGACGAATTTTGTACCGATCCTTCTCTAATGCAGGTTGATTCTGTAAAGGTGAAATTGAAACAAGCAAATTAATCCTATTTTCACACTAAATGTTAAGGTACAAACCAGAATAATTCAACAGGATACATACATACATACATATGTACACACATGCACGCGCACGCGTGATTTTGAATTTATAGGAAAAATCCTGTTACATCAAACTAACATAACTTTGATCAATAAGCTAATAGCCCAATTTAGCGTGCAAAAGACAAAGTGTTACCATTGAGAATTGTAGTCACTGTTTTAAAACTCAGTAAATTGACTCAAGACTCGCCCAAGTTAACTTGCTTCTGGACCCTAAAAGTCATGAGTAAATACCACAAGACTCGTAGGAGTCTTACACTTTTAGGCCTCATTTTGTTTTCTGTTATAGTCTCGGGGCAGATGAAACACCTGACATGGACTCAGGAACCAAGAGAGAACTGACCCAGCCCGAAGTCTATGTTTTAAAAAACTCGTTGTACAAGTTGTGAAGTTCACCAAAGAAAAAAGCTAAAAAAAATGTTTCATATATCTTTCTTAACTCACACTTGTAGAGTTATGCGTGTTGCATATAGGTATGCAACAAGAGAGAAGAACAATAAGAAATTTGAAAATTGATAATAAAACCTTTTCAAAGCATGAAAATTTCATGGTAAAAATTAGTTCCATACTTATATAAGAATTTCTTTAAATATAGGAAAATGAGTCAAGAATGAAATTTAACATCATTAATAATTCAAGATTTAAAAAAGTAAAATATTTTTAAACTACTTTATATCCTAATAATAGAAATACAAGCAAATCATAAAATATTGGTAAAAGAAAATAGAGTAGACATAATTTTAAAAAAACTGAAATTTCGCAATTAAAAAATAAAAATTAGTCATAAAGTTATTTTAGAGCATGGTACTTTATAGCTACAACTATAAACTTTTTCTTCAAAAATTCTAAAATAAAAAAAGTAGGTTTCCTTTTTTGCAATCAACACAAAATAATTATTGTTCAAATTCAAATATTTAAAACATACAATAAAATTTAATATACTTCTTAATTATTAATAAGTGTACTTAAATTTCGCATTAATAATGATACTTCTTAATTATTAAAATAAGTCTAACTATCAATGTTATGTAATTATTTATAACAATAATGGGTAAAATATAATAATCATGATATCATATTATATTTTTGAGGACAATAAATTATCATTATATTAGTATTTATAATTAATATAATAACATTATCATAAAATACAATAATCATGCTTATGATTATTATTATAGAAAATATGGATTAAGGTGAAGTTTAATTGTATTATAGAAAAATCCAAATAAGGACAAAATCCAAATAAGGACATCATATTACACAAAATAGAAATTCTGTTTTTATGTTTTTTTATTTAATATGGGAAATTCTGTTTTTATGTTACTATCATAATGTTCATATCAAAACCCTGTTATAAATCTATGAACATTCATAATAATGCCCGAAATATCATGAATATGTTAATAATTTTATTATCGGCAAGCATTAATAATACTAATAACTTATAAGTGCTTATATATGTATGTAGTTTATCATATGCAGCACACAGAGGCTTTGAATGCATTTATAATATATTGTTATATATGTTTACTCCCATATTGTAGTAAAATTCTCCTAAAACAATAACCTTCAACATATCATCTCTATCTGCATCTTTTCCCCTTATTTTTCAAATATCGCTTCTAAAGTCTCTTAAAAGTCCATAAATCTTGTTTTTCCATCACTCTTATTATTGTTTTTCAAAAACATAAAGTCTCTCTCTATCCTAGAAGGATGGGATTAGCTTGTTTAGAAAAATAGAAGTATACCCCACACAATTTGCTGTAAACTCCTTCTATTTCTTGGGCACCTACCCTACATTCTCTCTAGGATTCCCTTTATTCTTGCAACATGTATCCACTCTTTAGCTACGGCTTAATATATGTAGTAAAAATAATGAGTATCAATCCTACAAAGGTTGATTATAAAGAAAATTAAGAGTGTGTTTGATAAGTGGGAGTTTTTGGAAGTGCCAATTGAACATCCCACTTCCATTTTGGACAACACCTCCATTGAAGCCGCAAAGTGGAAGTGCGGCCTTCCACACCAACGTTAAAAGTGGCCCATTTTTTGGAAGAAGCCTCTTCCATCAAAATAAATGGAAGAGGCCTCTTCGATATTTTGTGGAGTGGGCATCGCACAAACTACCACCATCAAACACGCCCTAAATTATAAAATTATAGTAAAAAAAAACTTTGAATATGTAAAATTATAGTAAAAATTAACCACAGACCTGCAAACTTGGCCTCCTAGCAGACAAACGTCCAGTCTCAGTGTTGATATTAAGAGAACAATGAATGCGTCCATTCCCGCATGATATCCGGTCACCCTGCCATCATAAGTCACAAATCATTATAGCTGCCCTTTTCATCATTAAAAATCTAAAGCATCTTTCCATAGCAAATAAAGAAAATAAAAAAACAAGGAATGGCCAAGCCTGATTGCATATATGCCCACAAAAATATGTTTCACTTCACGTGTATGATTCTCAATTTTTCACTGGTATGCTATATTCGAATCTGCGATTGCTGAGTCATTTTGAGTGGGCTACAGCAAATTGAATATTTGTATTTTTTTATTTTCTTTATTGGTAATCAAATTTTGTACACATTACGTAAGTGATTCTCTTTGACATTCCTAAACACCAATATTTTCATATTTTGGCATAGTGACAGTACCTCTTGTTGAAGGCCCATGGTTTAAAGCAAATATGAAAGCCGGTTACAGTTTTGGTCCATCATGCATCGGTGGTTACAAAGAATGAACTATTTTCATGTAGGGTATAAGGGGAAAAAACTAGGTTTATCCCGCACGCAAAAAGGCATGTTTTCAGTGTCCGCCAGTACTACCCACAAGACAGAAATGCATCCAAAGCAACCTTCTCAAACCATGTTTGAGGCAGAGTCTAGACCCAAACCCCATCCACACCCCCATCCCCAAGACCATAAGGACAACATGGTTGAGAGTGTTATTCCCAGTGCTTCAGAATGCTTTCCAGCATGAATTTTGGAGGATCCCATTACATGTAACTGGAAAATCCCCTGCAAATACTGTCACCCTTCAAAATAGGATTATGCTCCAGTTAGTCATTAACCGCCTTATTTGCATGGCTCCTATTCTCTTATTATTGTCCAGTAAGATTAAAAGATACATTGCTAATCTACTTCTTCCCAGTTTCCTTTTGGGATTTTAGTAAAGCATTATTTTTTTCTTGTAATTAACATTGTTGTTCCAGACAAAGTTACAATGATTAAGTAGGTAAAAAAAGATATCACAATCATAGAGTGGGAAAAACAACTCAAGTTTGGCTAGACTATATACCAGTACATTAGCTTCCTCATAAACCCAAGACCATGTCAAACTTAAGAAATAGGTCTGTGTTTCTCAAACATGCCACCATCTTATACAAGACAAGAAAAATCTCAAATAAGCATTTTGATGCATTAAGTACTCCTAAATGATATAAGGATTACTGAAGCTCCTAACGTAGAGAAGAGAATAACTATTTTTTCTCACTACTTCTATCCATGTCCTTTTGAGCCTTCGTTGTCCTTTTAAAGCCTTCCACTTGAACCAAATTGCACCTCCTAACCGGTTTTGTATTAGGTCTACACTTGCACATAGCCAGTTCACATAAGTTTATTGTCCCCTATCTTAACGCTTATTAAAGCCACACCTAAGTTCCCTTGAATATATTCATTCCGAATTCCATCATTTCTTGTCTCGCCACTCATCCATCTCAAGATTCTCAACATCCGCAACTCAACTACACGCATATTATGGACATGTTGTTTCTTGACCGCCCAATATAGCTTGTCTTACAGCTGTCCTACATAACATCCCCTTCAGTTTCATTGGTACATGGCGATCACATCAAATTCCGGCGGCACATCTCCACTTCGCCCACCTAGCTTTAATTCTATGAGCAACATCCCTCGATCTATCCATCGAAAATAACCTCTTTTAGGTATTTTTTGGCCATCAATCTTAACTACTTCTCCATTTCTACTACTATTATTACTAAACTTGCATTTCATATATTCTATATTAGTCCTGCTAATTTTAAAACCTTTAGAATCTAGAGCATCCCTCCAAAGTTTACATGAGTGCCTAAAGACCACCTTAATAGAACTTTAGGTTAGAACTTCCCTTTATGGGTCTTGATACTAACACATAGGCACTAGCCAAGCCTAGGTGCACGCTAAGTCTCTAAGGCAACTAATGATTGATAAGACCATCGCCCCATTTAGCACCAAGACCCTCCTAATACCCAGATTGCCTTCTCCTTTATATTAGAGGAAAAAGGAGCACCTTTCATTAAAGAGTATGGATTCTTTATCCAAAACATTATAGCTCCACTTATCATCAAACACATTTTACTTTCTAACGGACTCTTTCAAATATGAAAGGAACTGCATCCCAATATCAATGTTCCTTATGTAGAATTGATGGGCCATATATCAAACAAAGGCATCAGTTTTCCCCATCAATAATCCTTAGAACTCCCCCTATCCAACAAAGAATTTAGGTCATCATCAAGTCCACCTATAATATTAAACAAGACCCCCTTAATAAAAGGTCCAACACACTAACCTTTCATCATCATTATCTGAGCCTTATCCTAGCTATTTGGGTTCAGCTATATATATCTTGTTATGCCATTACGCTTTATCAAGGGCCATATCATCAGCCTACCACTTGAACCAGAATGCCCCGCTAAACAATGTTGTTTTAGGTCGACACAGCACATGCCCAGACCACCTAAGTCTACTTTTGTTTTTGGGTAAGTCAAAGTGGTATACGAGTGGGGATTTGGGCCCCTACCCTTAGACCACCTAAGTCTACTTGCCTTATCATATTGCCTATTGGAGCCACCCCTAAGTTCCCTCTGATGTACTTATTTTGAATTCTACCTTTTCTTATCTTGCCACTCATCCAACTCAATATCCTCATTTCAGACACACTCGTTTTATGGATATATTTCTTGACTGCCCAACATTTTGTCTCCTAAAACATGGCTGGTCTTACAAATGTCTTATGAAACTTCCCCTTCAATTTCATTGGTATGCAACGAACACATAAGCTTCCGGAAGCACATCTCCATTTTGTCCAGCCAGCTCAAGTCAAAAGAGAAAAAAAAAGGAAAAAGAAAAAGAAAAAGATGTATAGTCATGCACATGCACCACCACACTTTTTCCATGTGGATCTAGTTTGCATTGAAAATCACCATGTAGCCCTCTTGCAGCCAAGCAAGGATAATGCTCATTTCCAGAGCTCTGCTCTACGTACAAAGAATATTAGAAACTGCTTGTTCCCGTGTAGGTAAAGCACTCCTTAAACAAGTGCTTTGCTTGTTCTAAATCCATCCAAATTACTCCATATCTGACCAAGCTTTGTAATTATATATCTGTGCAAATACTATTTGTAAGCCAGATGAACAGTCATTCTACAGGCTGCATCTATAACAAAGACCGTATCTCCCAATCCCATGACAAATGCAATTACCCATGTCAAATCCCTCAAATTCATTATCCACGACACCATTCTTCTGTCTTATATTTCTCTTTCAGCCAATTAGCTTGTCTCCTGTACAAAACTAAATAAGTGCTCTCAAAGTACATCTAAATCAACTCAACCATGTGAGATTCTGTAAAATGATAGAGATGTCCACATCTGTGATGACAGTCTTATAAGACATGGTAATACCCCTTTTCATTTTCTTACCATTCCAGCACACCATTGACATACTGATTGCCCATCATTGCTCATAATCTCAACATCTTTGTCATGCTACTACAGACACACAGAAAACATGTCATCCGCCAGTGGCAGCAAAAGTTGCCTTGAGTGATAGAATTTCCCACCAGTACACTTATTATTGAAACTTAAGGTTCTGTGCAAGAAGGTAAAATTTACCTTTTAAAATTAGTTTCCAATAGCAGGAGGGCCATATTGCATCTTTACAATGATAAAAAATAAAAACAAAAAAAAAGGTTCGGAGTTTATATTGGAAATAATGGAAATTTGCAATATACAATGATTTCTTTTAAGATGTTACCAAACCCCATCATTGACTGCTAACGCAGTATCATGCAAAACTCATGATATTGCACCTTCTTTACCAAATGCAATATAAATCATTTAAGGCTAACTTAAGAATCTCATTCTGGTTGCAGACCAAAAGCTGCCCGAATAGAGTCCTCCTCTGAACAAAGAGGATTAAAGAAACAACCGACACGGTTCATGCCAAGAATAAAGGCAAGGATAAAAAATGACTAGAGAACAATCAACACATAGAATGGTTACATAATAAGTCTTTATAATTTAAGGAACTTTATCTATATAAGCTTAATCATTGAACAGAAAAAAATGAAATATAAATAAAAGACAATAAAACATGTATACAAGACAATGCAAAACCTTGCCTGAAGGGGTAATATAAAGTTGGATATCAAGGAGTCAATTGAACAAACTTCACAAAGAGCAGCAATTGCATGACATGCCTCCCTCCCTTTCTCGCCATCACCAAACGCAGAATATGCACTTCCATACATAGATGTATCTATTTCAGCAGAAGTTGAAGCCTCCTTCCCATTGAGCTTGGCTTCTTCTTCTTCTAATACCGAATCTACAGGATTTTCATCATTGTCATCCATTGCACCATAAGGGATTGAGGAGACCTTTCCGGCAAAGGCTTTTAGAGCATCTCCACTAACAGAGGGCCAGCCAGACGGTGTATACATCTCAGTGTGCATCTCAACACCAAGGCTACGAAGCACAATCGTCCTATTCTTTGCAGGAGCTTTTTTGCCTTCCTCGATAAACTCATCAACATTTGGTACCTTAAAAGTCTTCTCAAATGGCAAAGTTTCATTGGGATCCTTCCTATTGAAGATCACATTTGTCGAGTTCGAAAGGTGAAACCATAACGAATCATTAACAAATTTAATATCCTACTCTTTATGCTTCAACATATATCTTACAACGAAAAAAAACACTTCACTAGATATTTACGTTTCACAGAAAATCATCAGACCTCAAGAGTTTGTTCATAGAAAACAGGTAATTCAATAATTATGAAAAAATAATTGAAAGGATAAGAGAATGAAAGAGGCTCAAAATGCACCCAAGTTGGAAAAACAAATTGTGCCTTCCTCGTAGGAAAAAGAGGTACAACAGGAAAGACAAATTGGACTAACTTGTATACCTGTTTTGCATCCCACCAAAGAAAAGTAGACGCAATTGAGAATCACTCCCCACATTCATGTACAAGGCATCTGGACAATACTGAGAAGCCCACTTCCTAAATCTGTTGACGGCAATTTCTCTCTCTTGAATGGCTATTTTCTCCATCTTAGACAGATGACAACGATCAACCAGCATCCCCTCAGATTCCATTCTAACCAAAATTTCACCAAATGGACGCCAGTACTCTTCATAGAAATCGTACATGGTTCCCCTTTGTACTCCATCCAGCACCCATCCCATGGCCATCAGCTTCCCCTTCAAGCTCACAAAAAGCTTCAGTGTGCTAACTGAATCTAGGGCAGAATAACAAATCCAGGGAATTCTCTCTTTCCTTTGTAGCTCTTCTACAGGGGGAAGAGTGACGAGTTTCCCTTCAGACCCATCTTTCTTCACCTTTCTCTTGCCAAATATAGTTTTCATTGATATTTTTCCAGAAATCAGTTCATCCTTTGCAGTTAAGCCAGGGCCAGACATGACCTTTGGATCACCTGTGAGAGCTTCAAGAGAATAGCCGCCTTCTGCACGCCTTGAAGAATCCCATAATCGAGCAAGATGAATCGTATCAGCATGAAATCCATGGACCTTAAATCCATAGTTCTCCAAGACATGATTATCAAAGCTATAGTTATGCCAAACCTGTAAAGAAGAAGGCAAACTTATTCCTCAATTACTAACCCGATAAATAAGCAAAGCTCTATCCATCAACCAACCACTTGTATTAAGAAACTTCAAAATGCAAAAGAGTGACTATTCTATATCAACTTGAAAAAGATAAGAAGATGCAAGATGATTGATAGTTGTACACTTCCTCAGCATCAAAAAGTGTATATCTTTTCTACTGTCTCTACTAAGAACCTTTTTTTTTTCCTTTACTTTATAGTAATGGAGGACCAAAGGCTCAATTCCAGCAGGGCTGATAAACCACCAACAGCAAAAACAGACAACCTCCACAGTGTGTTCCAATTCAATTATTTCGAAATGTTTCACCAGTTACCCACAGAAAAATGAATAAGGCAGAAGAGATTTCTGAAGAATACTGATAATGAAAAATAGGTGGCGAATAGAGATAAATTGGATGGTTATTTCATTAGAGATCCAATTGGAGATCCAATTGTGGGGTTCGGGATGAGGGGAGGAACGAGGAACAAGATGGAGAAGGATGGGTGGACGGGATAGTTGCATAATGATTCAAAATGCCCCTGGTTCGGATAGCTTGAATCCTTCTAGTGGAGATACAAGGAAGCTTTTCCGTCTGCTGCAGAACAATGTAATTGACGGAGCGCAAAATTCTGTCACCACTTTTTGTTTTATTTTCATTTGACTCTATATATAGTGTGTGTCTGCATAAGAGGTCCATGTACTTTAGTTGAACAAGATACAACTATGCATAAATGTATGATTCAGAGACACGTGGAATTGGAGTCTATATCCCATATAAATAAATGGAAGTTAACGAATGTATAATTTCTGCAGGGATATATTCAGGCATATTGAATCATGATAAGGAAGTAGCATCCCTGGCACGAAGGGCCCTCAGGTGTTTTTCTTACTAAGAAATCTTTCCTATAATCCTATTCTAATTAAATTCGGCACTCCAACGTGAACTTGATTTTATACTATTTGCCTTTAGATTTGTATTGAAGTTGCACCTTTAGTATTGAAGTAGGGGGCTCTACAACTGACTAATTAGACCAGTGTCTCTGACCATTGATTGACACACACACATCCTGAGTCAAAACTTTAGCTACTGAAGTAGACAAAAAAGTCAACAGAAATCACCATTTTTGCACGAACTTGGTGGTCAGACAAATGACAAATGCAATTTGAGATGACACGTAAACAACTAGGTCCACTCTCCTGAAAAGAAGGGTCCAATGATTTATTAGAATCCATGTTTACTTGTGCTGAAAAGTTAGGCAAAGAGGAAGACTGTGAAAACTTTGTCAAAAGTTCAATGATTTGTAGTAGTTGACTTCCACAATTCAGAGAGGTTGAGCAGAACGGATCCAATACAAGTTCAATTAGCTTTCTTCACAGATCAGACTGTATAATCTTTAGAAGTGATACCATATTCAAAATGAATAAGGTTAGAGCACGTGTACAAACCCTCACAATCATGAAGCCCCAAATAATTGAAACAGGCACCTCAGTACTGTTATTATATACTTCACGCTGCCATAACTACTTCCAAAACAACCAAGTTCATGTTTTGCTACAGGTACTCAACCAAGTGTAGCAGATCCTAATAAGACCTCCCTCATCATTTGGAACATTGGATTTATCACAACTAAGATGAATTACTTAGTAAAAATCATACAAATAGTAACAATCTGCAACAAGTAAAAGCCGATTTTTAGTTTAAATAAGAAGTACTTAATGTAAAAAAAACAAATTGAAGGGAAAACTTTACTTTTTTTATAGCTGGGTCTTCAAAAAAGGGCGCAAATGCCATCAACATATCTCTCCCACCATCAAGAACATCTACCCAGATACATGATTTTCCATTTCCAAAATCTGCTTCACCCGAATAGATGCTGAAACAAATAACTTCTCCATTACCCACTGGGGTTTCCCCCTTCACATCAATCTTAGCAACCTGGACAAAAAAAAACCAATTTTACCTTATGTTGAAAGGAAAAAATAAATGCATTAATATTTGCCAGCTCAAAACACAATAGAAGAGACCTAAACAAACACATAGTGAAACCCACATGCAAGAAAGAAAATTGCACCTCGGATTCATGAACTTTATATATCAATTTTGATGAAGGATATCTTGGGAAAAATTATATTACCAATGGATTTCAATAGTTACTTTCAGACATACCTCTGTATCGCATGCATGGACAAGGTGCCGGTACTCCTTAGTTAATTTTGAAACAACAGACTTTGCCACTGAGAGATTGTCAACTATGAGAACTTTATCATAGAGACATAAAAGCTTCTTTCTCTGCTCAGCCTGTGCATTATTGGATTCAGTCTTAGTAGTCACTTTCTCAACAAAGGTATCAATGGATTCACTATTGACAGCTTGTCCATTCAAAATCTCCTCTGCCATAGCATCATCTGATATCTCTTCCACAAATTCATAAGGAACAACACTATTTTGGAACACCACCTTCTTAATCAAAGACCCATTAGTCTGTGCATGCTCTCCCTCAATCTGTTTCCTCAATACTCCTAAGTGTGTAGGAAGATCTACTGCAGCATCTTCCTTCATTTGAGTTCTCACAGGACTATTTGCAACAGAAAATGAACAATTGTTCTTAACACCCAAGTCATTTTGGGTGGGTTCCAAATACGAGGGGCGGTTAGAAGACATCATTTGACCTTCTTGGGCATAATAATTTCCATTCTTTAGACGAAAAAGATCATCACGCATGTTAGTCATAGAACCACGCATGCTCTCTCTCATGTATGGGGTATTTAGGACTGATTTCACCACATGATTTTCTTCTAATTTCTGGCCATAAAAGGAGGTACTTCGAAGTGGGTCTTTTACATGAGGGGTTCTTCCTTTCAAACAAACCAAGTCATTCTTTTCTTTTTGTAAAATTGTACCACTTCGTGAAATTTCTGCGGTCACTGAGCCATCCGACATATTACAAGAAGGTTGCTGACCTAATCTTGATGCCCTCATCTTTCTACTCTCTTCAAGCCACCTAGCATTGATGCCATCCACTGAAGCACCAGAATTATGTGTTCTAAAAGGAGGAACTCTACCAGTTCCAGTTATTAGTGGCTCATTTATGGGACTCCTTAGACTTTGTCTATGTTCATCTTCTGTATTTTGCCAATTAACTAAGCTCGTTGACCTAGATCGTTCCCCCCTGGGATCAGGCCCGTTGGTGAAGTATGGTAACCGTCTATTGGATGAGGAGTGTGAGCTCCTCAAATTAGTGCGGACTTCAAAGTCTAGAACACGAGATGACCCATCTGCATCATTCAGAATACCAGTTTGGCTTTCCAAAATAACTGATCTGGAAGCTAGAGTTGCAACACTTCTAAACTTTAGAGGGGCAAGACGTGAATGATTTGAATATGTACTATCTACTTCCTGGAAAGAACCAATTTCTTGCCTGTCCTCCAAAACAACATGTCAGAATTAGAACAAGGAAATCAAAGCCTGAATGAATATGGAATACAAACATCACCAAGGTTATCATAACAATAATCAAAAGAGACGTGACAAAGGAAGGTCAGAAAATAAGACAAAAATCGATCATCAATTCTGGATGGTCAAAGGTAATATGTTTAAGAAATCATAAGCTGGATGGAGACAATGACCACAATGAAATAACTAAAGGGAAAAAACAATATACTCAATCATAATACAGAACTCCACATGCAAGCCAAAATATGGCACTGCGAAGTTTACAGTGAGTGTCAATATCAATAATCCAAACGGAAATTTGAAGCGTCATTCAAAAAGTTGCAAAGAATTTGTTGCACGCTGAACATCGTTTCGCTTTAAGTTAGATTCCATTAGATGGGTAAGAGCATCTGCCAACTCCGCCATGACCGATCAAACAAAAAGATACAAAAGATATTTGAAAGACAGCAGTAAACAAAAGAAATTGATGAGATATATGAGCACAAATAAAACAAGGTGAGAGTGATCATCAGAAGGAATACTCATTCAGCTCACCAAGGAGAGTCTATGACTCTATGTGCGCCTGTCCCATTGAGAGAATTAGAAGTTGAATTAGCCATGTCAGGCAAATGCTGAAAGGATAAGGTTCCTTACTATGAATTGCTTTTTCCATGGTGTCTGCAAGTCTATATGGGAAACATGAGTAATGCTTCACACATCTAATCACACACAGAATTCTAAGAAATTTATTATACGCGGTAACAGGGTGGTTTTCGGTTCTTTACTGATGCCTGGTATGGCAATTTTGCTTCATAAATCCTTGCTATTAATATGGGTGTCCTAGTCAAGGGTAGCTTGAGGTCGCTAAAAGTAAGGTGATTTGGGGTCTCATTTTCTCTTTCCTTCTTTTGTTGATCTTTTTTGGAGAGAAATTAACTTCATATTAATATATGTAGAAGGCAGCCCACAAACGGATGCTCAGAGTACAAGATGGTAGAGAAATAAAAGAATTACAAAGACCAAAAAACAAAATACTAAGTACAAAACCAGGCCAAAAGTGGCGACTGCAAGGATGTGATGCTGCCGGGGCACCGTTGTGGATGGGGGAAAATGTCCTCCGTATATGCTGGAAACCCAAACCCAAGTGTGAGACGGGGCAAGGAAGAGAAAGAGTTAGGTAGAAAAAAGGCTGGAGAAAAGAGGAAGGAGGAGGGTTTGAGGGGAGAAACAAGAGAAGAATGTCCTCTGTATTTTGTCAATATTCAATTTGGGATCTTGTTCTCAAGAGGGGAATTCATAACTTTAGAGTATTTGAGTCAACGATTATGTTTAAAAATCCTTTCTTTCAGAAAATGCAACCATATTAACTACAAATCACTTTTGCTTGAAGCCCACAACATGGCCTAGAAGCTACAATTGAAGTATGCTGATATCGCACTCACAATAACTAAACATGTCAACCAATATCACCAAAAGGAATCCAAGCTTCTCAACCCCCATCCTCCATAAAACTATTTGCAGTTTTTCATGACTAATCAAAGGCCATCTCAAACAACTGTTGGGTAACACCCCTAGTGAAGTTATCCATCCAAAGTTTCTTTACACATAAACAGAGAGTATACAAATTATCATCTACCTGTTCAGTAGGAATTTGTAGAAAACCAAAGGAAACTCCTTTATGTGTGCGTAGAATGAACTTAAGAAAATAAAAGACACAATAGCAAGGGAAAAACACATCCTTGGAGAGGAAAACTTCAGAGAGAGACGAAGCCCTCGCAGGCATACCTCTGAAACCCCTTGACAGATGCTGCAAAGGAATGGACTGAAGCTACACGTCTGTAAAAATGGGTGGAAGAAGAAGAAGAAGAAGAGGAAGAGAACCAAAAAGAAGGGGAGCAGTAGCAGCAGGGCTTGAAAGGGCCTCCCACCCCTTGCGCAGTAACCACCCCCAAACCCATTATCTCTGCAACTCTCCCCAGCCTGTTGCTCTTCACGGCCGTCTTGTTACTTCAAGCCCCCTCCTTAATCAATACACCATGAAAAACCTCTCTCTCTACAAACCCAACCATTTTCCTACTGAAAGGACGATTGCTCTTCCAGCGAATACCACCATTCTTTTAGAGAGAGAAGGATAATAGCTCTTCTCTTCTAGAGAGAGAGAGAAGAAACGGAGGTTTTGCAGTCCGCCATGAGAGGAGGCGTTTCAGAAAGAGGAAGAGTTGTAAAACCCTCTCGCAAAAACCTTAGAGAGAGAAAGAGAAAGAGAGAACGTCCAATTTGTGGTCGTGGAATTGTATGCCGATATTAATAGTTAATAAATTTGGAGCAAATATTTGAGAGTATAATGTTTCTGAATTTTAATATCCAATAAAGGAAGGTTGCTTTAACTTAACCTACTTCATGAATGCATTTTTTCCTTTATTTTATTTATTTTTGTGGCACCTATGCTGGCTTTCAGTTCGAGGGGGCCGTTCTGCGCGGGAAAGTATACACTTTAGGAGTAGCAATGGGTCGGGTCGGGGCGCACCTATCGTTTCCGTCCGTGTTAATTTTTTATTGTAAAACTTATGATTTGAAAGGAAAGCTTACAAATATGGTAGGAAAGTAAAACTAAGGAAAGTAAAAGTAGAATGGCATTAGAAAATAAGAAAAATGGGAAACTTAGCCGTGAAATTATTTTATATAAAAATGAAAAATTAGCTATAAAGTATTTTTTAAGCATAAAAATATACACTTGAGAATTTCAATTTTAAAAAAATTGAAAGAATAAAATTGGTATCTTATTTTTTTATATTTCTTATATTTCTAGTTCGTATAACATAAATTTTTTCTATTTATTTAATAGATAATAAAATATAAAAGTAAAAAATATTTGAAAGACTAAATATTTTTTAATTAAATTCTAATTTTTAGAATTTAAATATTAGAAACTGGTTTGGTATTTTTAAATATTTTTTAGTTTTTATAAAAGAAAAATTACGTACATATCCGTTATAATTTGCGTTATTACAAAACTATCTAATAGTTTCCGTTATTATTTATCTTTCCTTTTTTTAATGTCATAATCGAATTTTTTTAAATTCAATTTTTGAACAACTGAATTCTCTCTCTATGTCCTTCTTTCACTCATGCTTTACCCTATGTTCGTTCTCTCTACATACATTACATTGGCTGTGTTTAAACTCTTCCATATGTTTATCAATTCTCTCTATACCTTCTATTGGGTGGGTCTAAAGTCTTGTTTATATTCATCCATTCGCTATCTATACATTATATTGGGTGGGTTTATATTCTTCTTATGTTTATCTATTCTCTCGCTTGAAGGTTCTATTTTTCAATTGATTTGTAATTGGAACAGAGAAATTGTATAAACATATAGAAGAGTTTAAACCCAAATGTAATGTATAGAGAGAGAATGGATAAACATAGGGAAGAATTTAAACCCACCCAATGTAATGTATAGAGAGAATGGATGAAGATAGGGAAGAGTTTAAAGAGAAAATACAGGTAAAACGTGGTGAAAGAACGGTATAGAGAGAGAATTTGGTTGTTCAAAATTTGAATTTAAAATAATTTGATTAGTCGATAGAGAGAGAATACGTAGAGGACCTACGAGAGAGAAAAAAAATTACGGTGATTGAAATCTTCCGTTCTTCAACAACCAAAAATTTTAGATTTTCAGTTTCTAAAAAACCGAAATTGGCATGATTTCGATTGTTGCGGTTGTTCAATAATTGAAAAAGGGGAAATTCATATAGAGAGAATACATAGAGGAATTTTGAATTTTTTATTTTTCAAAAATGATTTTACAACTGAAAATCCATTGAATTGGGTTGTTCAACAACTGAAAAAAGGTAAAATTATCTTTTAAAAAAAAAAATTTCTTTATGACATGAAAAGAACGGATAGATAGGAAATAACAAAAACTATTCGGTAGTTTTGTATAACAGATATATTCGTAATTTTTCCTTTTATAAAATAACAAAATTTAGTAAAAATTAAAAACACTCATAAAAATTTCACAAAAATTTTAAAATTCAATTAATTGAAAGATGCTGATGAAAAAATATGGTTATCAAAACACACTCATTTCTGATAGGGCTGGGAAGGGGTCAAGTCGGGTCCGAACCTAGACATAGCCTGAAAATACATACATGGGACCCTGACCCCATATTTAAATTTATTTTGAGGACCCGGATCTAGACCTGACGGATTATACATAGAAAAAAAAGTAGCTAAAAATTAAAAATTACCTAATAACATGTACCTAAAATTACTAAAAAATATGAAAATTTACCAAAAACATATAAGCAAAATTATATTGTACTCAACAAATTTTGAATACTTCTATGGCCTTGTTTTGTACATGAAGCATTTTTTTTAGGGTGCGGTTTTTATAGAGCCGAGGCTCTAAACAATCAAAGTCAAGCGCGCATTCAAATATTGTCGAGAAATGTGGTTTCAATACTGGAAATATTTGTGATAGCCTTAAAAGTATTTTCATCTTTAATTATAAAATTTAAAGTTTCAAAATAAGTGTAGATTGAGCACATCTATAAAATCTTGAAAATTGACTGTTAAAAAATGCGTTAGAAGATGCACTATTTCCAATACTTAAAATCCATTTTCTTTATGTCCGTGTTTCTTTATGTTGAGATGATCATTTGAGGATATTTGGGCATCAAAATAGCCTCTTCTAGTGAAATTTTTTGGGTGGGTTTAAAGCCTCAGCTCTATACAAACGTTTTCTTTTCTTTTTTTAATAAGTGTATTTTTTTTAAGGGTGCAACATCACTTGTATAAAGCACATTAGTGGTATTTAATACTCTATATGAATGATGGCACACCCCATGTAGATGACATTATACTTCTTTTAATGACTAAAATACTCTTATTAAAAAAAACCCCACGTACAAAACAATGGTATATAAGTGTCCAAATTTGTTGAGTATGATGATAAATTACTCCATAGTGTAAACGCCCTAACATAACCCTTTAGATAGAGATGACACACTCCTTTATCTTATGTATATCATAGATAGTAAATTACTATGAAAGAATACAAGTGTAGATAGAAGAATACCCATGCAAAGAGAAAATTTTAGGAAATTTTTTCTAAAATTTCAAATTAATAAATTTTTTTGATATTATATTAATCTTATGGGGCAAGTAGCTTTGTCTTTCATTATATGTGAATTGTGAAGCATGAATGTCATTATATGTGAATTGTGAAGCATGAATGGAGATAATAGTCCAAGAATTCTAGGGAGAGCGTCTTTGATCACCCATATATGCAAAGTAGATTTACGTTGAGTTTAACTACAGCTTTTAACAACTACTGTTGATATTTTCGACTTATTTCATTAATGTATTGTTTTATATTATTTGAATATAATTTCCTATAATTTTTCTATTAACTTTTTATTGTTTATTTTCATTTATCTATTATTTTTTATTGTTCTCTATGTTCATATTTTTGTAATTATATTATTTTTGGGTATTTACTCTCGCCAGTCTATGAAGCTCAATGAACATATTCATCTTTTTAGGTAGGTTGTCATATTTTAATTAATTTTTCAAATGTTACTACTTCATGTGAATAGTAGACCTCGAGTGAGATTGTAATAGAAAAACCTTGCTACTTGAAAAATAATTTCACAATCACATATTCTATACATTTTTTTGGTTCACAATTTTATTGTGAGAATTATTTTCTTTAGAATACCTAATATGACATCTCATAATTTCTAATAAATTTCATGTTCAAAAAATTGTATTTGTTATTTTTGAAATTTTGAACTGAGGAAAATTTTGTACTTTTTATTTGATGCTTGATGTTTTAAATAAAATATATAAATACTAATGTTTCATCAACAACTAGGGCTAAGAATTTACCTTGACTTGACTTGAGACCCCAATGACCCGACCTGGTCGAGGTTCGAGTATGGGTTTAAGAATTGGACTCGGCGGGTCGGGTTCTTGTCCAAGATTTGGACCCAAATAGTAAATCATGTCGGGTTTGGGTATTGGTGGACCCGACCTAGTTATTCTAATATGTTATAAATTACTTTTTATTTACAAATTAAATAAGGTTATATATATTAATAGGTATGCTTTTTTAAGTTTTTTTTTTAATATATATATGTGGGAAAAGATCTCGTCAGCCCATGGGCAGACAACTATAGTGTCAACCAACTGCCCAAATTGAATCTGGGCTCAATCTAATGGCCACGACTTTATTTCGTATTTGAATTTTCATTTTTTTTATACAAATCCAAATCACTTAAAATTTTAAGCGTCCATACTTAATAACTAATATAATCTAATAAAAATATTTAAAAACTAAATCAAAAAATATAAATTGACCATACTACGCCCAAAATGTTTTGGTGGTAGTTTGATCAATTTATATTTTGCTAATTGTTTTTTATATATTTTTATTAGGTGCTCTTTGACGAGTAGAATGTAACCCTAAATTTTCAAGTAATTTGAATTTGTAGAAAAAAATATAAAAATTCAAATACGAAATAAGGTTGTGACCATCAGATCGGCCCAGATTCAATATAGACTATTGGTTAATACTGTAGCAGTCAGCTCGTAAGCTGACAACATCGATTCCTTATATATATATATATATATATATATATATATATATATATAGA